TTACATATATTTATATATATACACACAGTTTGTCTAATGCATTTAATAAAATTGGCATATAAATATAAAAGATAATGAGAGAATAATTATATTTCTATTAAATAAATAAATAAATATATATATATATATATTACTTTTACATTGACGATTCAAATAAGTAAATACTAACTTTACGCAACAAATATCAGCAACAGTATAGCCCAGAAAGTAAAAGGATGTTTGTAAGAGGAATTTTGGTATAAATTGTTGCTGGCGCATCTTTCATCTTGTTTTAAGAGGTGAGCGGAAATATTTCACAAATTTTCCTCACCGCCAACCTTTGGTTAATGCTTGGAGGAGGCAAGCTTTCGTCTCATTCCTTTCTACTCTGATATCATGTGTGTTCTATTTGACTTTATATTTTCACACATTTTTATAGATCGCCCAACGCAAGTCGCCGAACTTGGCTTACTCTGGCCTGATTGCCTATCCAGACTCAGCAATTTCAGGCATTATTGCCCAGTCAGGCTGGTTGATCACGACGAATTGCTTGACACCCTTCGCGAGCCGATGTTCTCGACCGATCTACAACTGCCAGGTTTCAGGGCCACTTCACAGCTTCGCTTCACGCTAGAGCATTCGGGTCGTCTGTACCGAATGGCTGGACCGGCTGAGATGGCTGCCTTCTTGGCGAAGCCCGAAAGGTATACTAACAGCGAAGCCGAGGCTTTGCTGCCAACCGATGATGCACAACTGCCGCTACGCATAGACCCTTCGGATTCCATCTGCCTTGACAAGTTGACCAAGTTTCCGGCTCAAGTGGGCTTTCGTGGATTCTGCCCGGTCTGCTTTGTCACCAGGGAGCAGACCTACGAGGCTCTGAAGCCTGGACTCAGTTGCCATCTGGCCAGCATGCAGGGCGAGATCTACACATTCTGCTCCAAAAATTGCATGACAACCTTCCTCAGGTGTGACCGTCTAGGCCTTCTGGAAGTCTGTCACCTTGCGTCCAAGTCTTTCTGGCATTCACTCAACAGTCCATTTCAGTTAATAGGTTTCTCTGAAAACACACATACATTTGGGTTATATTGGCCAGAAGACCTAGAGAAACACACCTTGTATGAAGTTCATAATATGCATGCTCATTTCCAGAGTCGTATCGTTGACTTTCATTCTCAGCCATTCTCAGCAGCCAAGCTACGACTTGTCAAAAGAGTCAAGGGAGGACAATCTCTTCATCAACTTTCTGTCAAGACGGTTAGTCAAAGAATTGACTTCTCTTGTCACTTTTGACGAGTTGTAGCTTGGCTGCTGAGAATGGCAAGACTCATTGATGATGCCGACTATGATGCCGGCGAAATGTCTGGGAATGTACCAAGTCCGCGGTCCGACTCTGTAAATGATCTTGCACACTA